GCACAACAGTAAGGCCTTGGAGCTAAATTCCATATAAAGACGGATGTGGGTCACAGTCGTCTGATACTTCTGGAAATTGGCATTAAAACCCAAAAGGTGTGGCGCCAAGCTTCCCGTGGTGCTGCATGTTCGGCTTTTCGGGGGAGATCCCGAAAGAAGAGCAAATTGGACCTCGGCCACGACCTTTTTTTCCGGAAGCAGCCAGGCTTGGCATGTTTGCAGGATCATGTCTAGATAGGCGAATATGGCCTCATCGCCGGCATGAAAGATATCTTATATCCCTTGAAAGTTCAAGCGCAAGATCCAACGCCAACGAAGGTGGAACCATTGCACTCACCGCATCTTTACACTGAAACCCAAAATCCACAACCAATATGACAGTGAACAACAAGTTGGAGGTGATCATCGTTGGCGCCGGCTTTGGCGGGCTTGGTGCCGCTATTGAATGTGCTCAGCGCGGCATGAACGTTACCGTGATTGAGAAGTATCCTGACTCAAACAGCCAAGGCGGTAAGTCGGCTCCTTCATCACGCCCAATCCTCAGATGATAATAAGAATTTTCCATTACATAGATATTCTGGACTTCTTCCCGAATGCCGGACGAATCATTCATCGATGGGATGATGGCAAGATTGGCCAGCAGATTCACGATACTGGATGCAGTCGCATCCGAACCATGGAGCTCCACAAATTTGACGGCAAATTCATTGTCAACGTTCCGTGGGCGAGAGATGACAAAGAGCACAACATTACATACGCCGGTCACCGTGGCAAGATCCACTCTATTTTCCTAGCCTACGCGAAGACTCTTGTCAAGGACATCAGAATCGGCGTCGCTGTCAGTGAGTACCTGGAGGAAGATCGTCGTGCTGGTGTGAGGCTGTCCACGGGAGAGACATCGTGGGCCGATTGTGTCATAGCAGCCGACGGCCCTCGGTCCATCGCGCGTGGACAGGTTTTGCAACTGGACGATGAGAAGATAGATGGCACCAGTAGCGGATGGGCTGTGTTCAGAAGCTTCTTTAAAACCGACGAGGCCATGAGAAGCCACCCGGGGTTGAAGGATCTCTACCGCGAGGACAGGGACACTGTGAGATTCTGGATGTATGACAACTTGAGCCTCATGGCATTTGTCTGGAATAAGGGTCAGGATATTGCTTGGGTATTGATCCACCCGGTAAGCAGTTTCGACCCCTTCAGTCAGCGTTGACTAGACTGCTGACGTGACTTACAATATCAGGACGATAAAGAATCCTCCGAATCTTGGTCGAACATTGCCGAAAGAGAGCATGTAGTCAAGTGGATGAACTACTTTCCTGGAAGGGATGCCCAAGCGCTTCTCGATGTGACCCCAATTGGTAAAACTATCGATTTCAAACTCGTTTACCGACCCACCATAGATACTTGGGTCAGCAAAGGCGGCCGCACCATTCTCATCGGAGACGCAGCTCACGCCAACCTACCTACCGCTGGTCAAGGAGCATCTCAGGCACTGGAGGATGCCGTGACAGTGGCTGAGTGTCTTGAGTTGTCCAAGGGCGACGTCAAGCTGGCTTTGGAAGCTGCCCAGAGGATTCGGTTTCATCGTTCCAACGCGGTACACGAAAGCGGCCAGAAAAATCGGGATGCGTTTTACAAGATTCCCTGGGACGACATCGAAGCGGCCCCAAAGGAATGGGCGCAGAAGAGATTCCCGAAACTGAAGCCATGGGATCCGCTGGATTTCACTAAGAGCAACTTTGACCAGGTGGCGAAGGATATCAAGAACGGGGTCAATGGACACCTAAAGGATGTCGCGGTGCCTCCACCCCCCGGCGGATATTGGTGATGTAGTCCGTTTTGGTGTGCCGGAGGATGCACATGTTTCATTTTGTTTAGAAGCTCATTGCTTATTAGAGTAGAACGTCCGGACTTATCATGTCGAAGATATTCATGGCTTTTGTTTACATCGGTGAATACAGCTGCTTCACTTAAAATCTGTTCCTCAGTGGAATTTGATTATTATGAGTGTTGTATGATTTAGCCTAATCTTGTCAAGAAGAAGTATGCTATGGATACTCAGGACGCAGTGGAACATGTCCACGCGGTGCAGCTGCAGTTCAGCACATTCTGCCTCGAGTTGTGAAAGTGCAAAGTTCAAAATTAAATTTCGTACCTTATGTTTTAGTCCACCTTACAACGATACGTGCAAATAGTCTGTTCACCAAATTTCGCCCTCCACATTACACCGAAAAGTGAGCGTCTCCCACAGCCATCTCACACTTATGCCTTTCTTCGGGATAGTTGATTTCTAATTTGTTTGCATTTTCTATTAGATTCATTAGATTCACTGTTTACCGCTTCCCGTTGTTATCCTTGTCTGCGTCCGGAGTGAGAGGGCGCAGCCTCTGCGTACATGTATGACTACGGGCACTGGTGGCGAATACCATAACGCTCTCCTCAACAGCCCTCAGCATTTCCCGGCTAATGAACAGTATAGCCCGAAAATGTCGTTAACTTCTCAGATTGACGTGGCGGCAAGATGAAACTTCAACGATAACAGATGGGACACCCACCAAAATGCCCGGCCGAAGTTTTCCGCGGGGCTCGGCATGCTCGGGAAATACGCGCGTCGATTTGGACTTGCCATGCAATTCTGTGCTGGCACTGTGACATGGCCTGAATCAACTCTGGTCGGGATGGTATGGCCCGGAGAAAATGTGCGATAGCAAGTGGCCAAGATTCAGCGATCTAACCTAACGCGTCTTATCTCACCCCAGTAGTGCTTCGAGATAGTTGGAGTGTTATCGCATGGAGGGTGAGGCAAGCATCTGTCCAATGCACAGTTCACCGAGATATAATTGAACGCATGCGTGTCCAAGAAGTCGTCAGTCTTCAACCGAATTGCTATCAGTTTCGGTGAGGCAGCGACATACACTGCGCCTCCACTCCATCATTCTTTGCATCCTCAATACAGAGCCAATACCTTATCCACCTTGAAGTTCGAACCCGATTCAACCATGGCGGTGCTTAGTCTTGGGCCCGTCTTTTCACACATTCTTATTGTCTTAGTTGCTATGCTGAATATTTGTATTCTTTCTTACGATGCCGGCATGATCAACAACTTGAACGCGGTCAAGCCGTACAACGATTGTTTGTCTCCTTCTTGAACTGAGTTGCTTTTCTAATGCTTCGATACAGATTTCAACCTCAATAGCGACCTAATCGGTCTGAACGTTGCGATTATCAGCGCTGGTTCGGTCTTGGGAGCCCCGGTGGTGGGGCCGGCGGTTGATCGTTGGGGACGGAAGATGGGCCTTGCGGCTGGCTCCATCTGCATCATCGTTGGAGTCATCCTACAAGCTTCAGCATCAGCTGGTACGTGGCGTTGGCCAACAAGCTTTCACATCAAGGACTGACAACAGCGTCAAACAGTGCCACAACTCATTGTCGGTCGGTTCATTATCGGATTCGCTTCTCTAGTCAATGGCTCCATTGCCCCTATGTGGGTGATGGAGCTGGCTTCGCCAAAGCATAGAACCATCTGCTCTAGCACAGTACTCGTTTCTGTTCCATTCACATCCTTCTTGGTTGCCTGCATCGTACTTGGAATTTTCGACAAGGATTCCAACTGGGTATGGAGAGGCATCATGCTAGTGAGTGTCCTCGAAAGTTCCTCAACTACGTCGACTGTCTAACCTGTCATGTCAAGGGCGAAGCAGTACCTTCCATCATTTCACTCTGTCTCTTGCCATTCGTTGATGAGAGTCCTCGATGGCTGTTTTCCAAAGGACGTGCTGAAGAGGTAAGGTACAACGAGTGCACAACCATACGAACTGCTAACCAGTCATAGGCAACCGAGATCCTTGCCCGTCTGCATGCTGACGGCGACGTACATAACGTTGAGGTACTTACCGAAGCGCAGGAGATTGTTGCTTCTCTCAATCAGGAGAAGGACGGTCAAGGGGCATGGCGCGAACTCATTACACCTGGTGAGCCGATTGCAAGTACCATTCTCTAGGTCTTGGCTAACCTGATGTTTTCCGTAGCCTCTAACATGAAGAGATTTACCATTGCTGTTTTGACCAACATATTCTATCAAATTCTTGGAGGAAACATGATTCTGTAGGCTCCTTGGTGTCTTTGCAATACAAACAAAAGGCTAACCTTCTGCTCAGGTACTTCTCGTCATACATCATTTCGAGCCTAGGTGTTTCCAGCAGGAGATCCATTATCACTATCAACATCGCTCTCTTGCTATGGAAGGCCTTTTGCAGTATTCTTGGCGTGTTCCTTATCGATCGGGTCGGCGCTCGGAAGCCATTACGTACGTATTCAGAATACTCAGAGTCCACTGTTGTTTCGCGAAGCTAACATGCGATTTCAGTTGCCGGAACATCAGCAACTGTGATTCTGTTTGGTCTTCTGTCTGGCTTATCCCACCTCACGGAAGTTCATCCTGACACCAACTCATACGCTATTGGCTCAATTGTCGTTGTTGCACTTTTCTTGCTTGCAGTCTCTACCAGTTGGTAAGATAGCTTTTCGGCGTCCATTTTCTATCCGTGACTAACTTTGCTGCAGGATGATCTTGGCATACACTTACCCACCCGAAATACTCCGATACTCACAGCGAGCCAAGGGTGTGGTGGTCGCCCAAGCCATCGGTTACGCATTCAGCTTCCTTAATCTGTACACCGCTCCTTTGGCGATCGAACGGATCTCATGGCGGTACTACGCGATCAATAGTGGTTGGAATCTGGGAATCCTGGCTGTGGTCTACTGTCTGTTCGTTGAGACTAAGGGCAGAACTTTGGAGGAAATTGACGAGGTCTTTGATGGCGTGGTATATTCCAACGATGTTATCATCGATGCTCAAGGCTCGAAAGGCACCCTGGAGCAAGATGGAGAAGACAACAAGAGTCTAACAAAGCGCAAGCTTCGAAAAGTTGACTCTGCGAACTGAATTAGCGGTATTCAAGGGATTATTTTGGTATGGTAAAGACATCTTGCTTCCGTTTGGATCGATAGCTCAGTGGTAGAGCGAGAGATTGCAGTCCTTCTATTTGCAGATATCTCTAGGCCCCGCGTTCGAACCGCGGTCGGTCCTACGAATGAATAGTTTTGTTGTACTTTGCTGCTTTTTTTGTGTCTCCGCAAATGAGGGCTTTCCCTGGCGGAACTGCTTAGCCCCATCCTTGTCCCGAGCCACCTCGCTTTCAGACACCCACTTGGCCACCAATGTATATTGCCTTGATAATTGGATAACAATTGAGCAATGGGTATGCTGGATCGCCCTGGTCATCAATATGAGTTTCGCTAGCCGGGCAGTGTAAGTTGGTTATCCGGGCAGTGTCCCTCCCCTATAAATATATCGTAGTATATACCTGTACTCTAATAAGGACTATAGTAGAGGTAGATAGGAATAATGATGAACGACGACGACAGCGATAACGAAAGTGATGATACCAGCGAGAATCGTCGTTTTAGTATAGGTATAGGATATATAGATTATATACTGCTTATGTAGTGGACACTGCCCGGATGGCCAGCTAACACTGCCCGGCTAGCAGAAGTCATCAATATTCCTTGTGTTTAGGGTATGTGCGGTGCCTTTAGAACCTAAACCTCAAGAAAGGCTTTCAGCCACAGTTTCGATTACGGCTACCAAACCCCAAGCTAGCGCCAGCCCCTTGACCAGCCGTCTCAAACTCATCTTGCTTGAAGACGCGGCACCTGATGTGCTGGTTGGAGATGTCTTTCCTGTGAGTGGTATCTCTCCCACATCACTCTGCTTGTGTACCAGAGTTACTGCAGGCGTCGTGACTAATCCTATGTACTGCGTGCTATCGGCAGGCTTGATAGTCTCGATCGTAGTTTTGAAACTCATAGTTGTAGCCGTTGTGTACGCCATCAGACCTGTGATAGGTCTCCCGTAAAAGGTGTATGTTTCAAGAAGCACAGTTTCAATGCGGCTTGCAAATTGAAGTTAACACCCCGTCGTGGCAGTATATGCTTCATTCGAGACTGTCGAGAAGCATGCGCCACCGGCCCATCTTGCTGTGAATCCGCTATGACATTTATTATCAACTTCAGTCAAGATTGGAAAGTAATTCCAGTCGAATGACAGCCACCACTTTACTCACCTTGGGCAACAGATCGCAGCAGTCTCCGAAACTTCCATTGCAGAGAGGAATATCTCATTCGATGGTCTGAACCCTGGTGTAATTTGAGACATGGTAGTGGTCCTTGTGGGAAATGTGCGCGTGAAAGTAGGATCGGCGAAACTCCCGTTCACTGTATAAGATGACGGTCCTTCTTTTATGGCAAGCCCTGCGGTTAACCAATCTGCTGGACAAGCAATGCCTGGCGAATGATATAATTCGAAGTTCAGTCGCTGAGGGTTCATTTCGGCTTGCCTGGAAGCCCATTCTCGGTTTGCCGGGGGCGCAGACGGTATGCATTCATCGTAAATGTCGGTTCGCACGTCGCAATTATCCCACCACATCGCTACACCGTCTTTGTAATTGGTAGCATAAGCCAATTGTACAGAAGGCGGTGCGGAAGCGCATGATGTTGGGGCGGTCCACGTCGTTGTCAACGGACCAAGGTTGACGAGGTCGACGCCGGAAATGGTGGAAGTAGGCATACTTGCAAACTGTCACAAATCCATCGCACACTGGAATCTTTCAAATTGAGAAAGACCGATTACAATCGCTTACAGAAAGTTGCTGTTTATCAATCATTGCCAAGGTAGTTGCCTAAATTCCAAGTGATCGTCTAAGACAAGTGAAGTTGCTGACGTGTGCCCAGTTCCTGCCCGTCATATGATCAACCACGAGCCAAACAGAGCGAAGCATGACAAGTTGTGTGACATACACAATTAGGATCGGTTGCGATACGTGAAGCATTGCAGCAGGGCGACTTCATCACTTTGAAGCAGTTGCTAAGATGTACCCAATGACGGACGATTGAGGAGATCTGCCCTCCTACAGGCTACCTATCTAAACTGACATCGACTTCCGAACAGTGGTCTCGAATTCCTCTGGCTCCCTCCCCAGAAGCTCGCTTAGCAGTGAAGAAGCAGATGCGGCCTCCTCCCTTCGGAACGCTTCAAATGACGACGCCCACGCCTTGGAATAATCGACTCCGCGATAGGTAAAGTTGGGGGGAACCTGGGGCTGTGTCGCGAATTCATCGTCTGAGACCTGCTTGACGGTAACGGGAATATTTGCGATCTTGCTGAGTATCTTGACTGTTTCCGACAGGGTCAAGCTCTTATTTCCTGAAAGTAGCACCGTCTTGCTGCGGTAAGCGAATCCCTGAGGATCTCGAACATAGCGTAGTATGAGTTCGGCAGTGCCCTCACCCAATTCCTCCCTCTTCACCCAGGCGATTCCAGGCCCCGAGCCGTCATGCGGTATCTTGACTTCGCTGCGGGGTTGCGCGGGGTCAAAGAAAGCGGTGTAGAGTGGGTACGACTCCGTGTAAAGACCCTCTCGAATGATGGTGAAGTCGAAGCCTGGGTGGCTCTTCCGACAATCTTCAAGATATCTTTCAGTGTCAAGATGCGGTTTCATAACATGAGCTACTGTCTCTTTGTTGCTCTCCGACCCAGCAAAGCCCAAAGACCCATAGAAGATGTACTCTACGCCGCTTGCGATCGCGGCGTCAATGGCAAGTTTGTGTCGCTTGAGGTATTTCGTTAGCCGATACTTCGTCACGTTTGAAGGCAAGTTTCTCATACCTCGACTCTGTGTTCGTGCTCGACCGATGCGTAGGAGATCAAGAAGAGAGTTTTGATCCCGCGGAACGCGACTTGGACCGTCGCGTCGTCATCGTAATTTGCTCGGCGTACTTCAGCTCCTAGAGCTGCTTCAGAAGCAAGCTTTTCTGGGTGTCGAGCGATGAAGACGAGATCCTTAGGGGACAGGCGATTGAGGATGTGCTTCACAGTACCTCCGCCAATGCCTCCGGATGCGGGAAAAATTCCGATCTTTTGCTCCATTGAGGGTGCCATCTTTGCAGATTGAGACATGGAGGAAAGGAAGTTGAGTGCATCATGCAATGCTGCGAAACAATGCCATTAGTTGGTGTTTTGTATCCAACGCAACGCCGCAGTGTGAGTACTGAGCCATGGATATTACAAACCAACCCTATTTCCGTGGAATTGTTTGACTTAGCGATGCCGATTTTGCAGTCTTTGCGATCCAGATCTAATGCTTACAAATTTCACTGCATGGGACTCGGTTCAGCAGTAATTGAGGCGAATGGAATTTGTAATATCTAGTGGAGATGACGATGCCACTCAAAACCGAAACCGAAGGAAATAAGATAGGTCTGTAGTTCAAAGAAAACTCGAACTGTGAGCTTTCTGTAGCCCCCACATGTTTTGTACAATACATGCGTCGATCGGTTCCATTACTCTCACTAGCCGCCCAATCGAACTTGAATTATCAGCAGATTTCGCAGATGCGGCGCCGGCAATTGCTAGCCCGTTGTGGATTCAGACTGGGTAGAACGGCATGTTGGCCGAAGCTCGGCGTGATTCGGAGTTTATGTGACGTTTATCCCGAACGAAGTCTAAGCATTGAAAATGATTACATCACGCTTCCTAGAAGTCAACCGTGATGCCACGATTTCTCTCGTTGAAACCATGAAACATGAAACATCTTTCTCTGTCCAGAGAGCATGACGTCAGGGCAGTATGAACTTCGTAAGCATAGGCTTTGCCATTCGTCGCAGTTACATCTATGTAACTAAGGTGGTGAAACTCGAGTCTGATTTTGATTTACTGTACTGGTTACTGTCCAGTGTATTACCCTTTGGCTTTGGTGATTAGTACTTTCGACAAGTCTACTTTCATTTCTAGGGCCGTCCATATTGTTCTTCAACTCATCATCAATGTCTTTGTCCCGACTAGCAAAGCTCGTGGGCAAAGTTTACATGTCGGGGAAGCTTGAACTTGGTCAAGTCGCTCTGAGCCACAATACTGATTGAACAAAGTCGTGGAACGGGTGGCTTGCCTACATACTTTACCTCAATTGTCTGGATCGGCGAGTGAGTGGTTATTGGCACAATCTAACGCAGCGCATTAGAATGACGATTAGCCAACGACCATGCAGTGTTGTTCAGGATTTTAACAACGATACTAGTTTCTCATCTACCAGATGCTTTCCCAAAAGTGCGGGGAACTTTCCTAATAAGAGTAGTTTGGGCAACTCGGATCCGGGTAATGTCATTCTCAGCGTTGTATCCCACGTTTCGGTCGAACCACGAGCGCCGGTTTGATGGAACAATACTTAACAAAATCTCACCCAAGATGTTGGACGCCTCTCCTGACTTATCAAACTGCTATAATGCTTCTCATGATCTCGGTTGCCCATGGCCTTAGATGTGAGAACGCGGGGTTGCCCAGTGATAGCCGAATACGAGAACCATTAAAGCTTCAAATTGATATGCACATCTGTCCATAATAAATGCAGATATTCCGTGACAAATGGAGATTTGCTCCATTTGTCGAAGCCTCACGGCACAAGAGTCCCGGTTCCACTCGCGCTGGGCGAAGTGCCTTGAGTATAAAGGGAGTTCCTATTTTACGGATAATTCTCTGTTGCTCAGTCCTAGCAGCCAACTCTGCACATCTGTCTCCTGCACCACACAGATTAATACTTTACTTGCATCAATTCACCGTTGCGACCATTACTTAAATACTCCATACAACATGCGTTTCTCCTGGGACCTTGTCGCCGCCGCGCTTCTGTTCGTCGGAACTAATGCGGCCAATATTCGTCGTCAGGACGAGTACGTCGGCGACTTCCGCATCTGGAGCGAGCAAGTCTGTGCTGGCAGCGGCAATCGGGGCATCTGGGCCATCACCAAAGGCTTAACGGAGACATGCCAGCCTTCATTCAAGGCACCAGACAATATCGTCAAGGCCGTGGAACTGAACTACATGGTTGAGGGTTGTAGCTGTAAGATCATACTCTCTTAAATGGCACCTAATAGTGTGCCCGCTTGCTAATAAGTTCCTGGCAGTGACTGTGTATTCTTCGAATGATTGCGGAGAAGGGGCCCGCGAGGTCAAGATTGGAGCGTGCGAGGAGACTT